ATACTGCCACAATAAGGCTACTTTCTGTTATTACGGCTGTATTATAAGGAAGGTTAGAACCTGTAAAGGGCTAAAGAACAACAGCTGATTTTATTTATGCTTTTTCATGGAGTCTTTGGTTATTTCAGGTTAAGATGGTCTGCCTCAAATAGAAAACACATAAACATCTAATTCTGAAACATAGTTAAGAAGATCTAAAAGTAAAGCCAGCTGCCTCACATATTTTTGATATTTCAAAAAGCAGATGTAAACTGTATGCCACTTTTGACCACCACTTTCTAAGAATTTACATGAATACTACTAAAATATTAACCAGTTCCCAAATCAGGTTTTCTTTCTTTCTTTTTATTTATTTATTTATTTTATTTTTTTTGTGGCTTCGTTATATAACTTGGGTCTGAAGGTGCTATTCTTGTTACTGTGCAAAGTTTGTCATTTTCTTGTAACATTATTTAATTCTCCAATGTTTTATGTTAAAAGCCTTAATTGCTGACCTATATGGGTTTAAACATGGCTACTGCAGTTCAATTTTCCTATAAGTTAAAATCTGCTTTCAACACAGCCTAGAGTTGTGTGATGATGGTGAACTTGGAACCGAAAGGTTCGAGTGACATTATCTTAGAGGTGAAAGCATTCCTGTTCCCTGTTTCTTGATGCTCCTCTCCGTTGTTGCAACTGTTATAACTATAGCAATGAGAAAAAACACGGATCTAGGAGGTATCCCTACCTCTGATCTACACCTGCAGCTTCACTGGACCAGAACCACTCCCATGTGTTGTCTTTCTGTTCGATTTGATCTGGATCTGCAGCATATATTGAAGTAAATGAGGGTCTTCAAGTGGTTCAGCAAGTTTGTTAGTTTAAAAAATAAAACAGAAAACACAAACAACAGTTTTCTATCCATAACTTACCTGAATGTCTGTCCTATTAACAAAGAGCAGTGCTAGTTTGTAGCTATGGGGATGTGTTCACCTCTTGTGGCACTGACCCTACATATAGATGTAGGACAGTCTTTTAAAACAATCAAACTTTTCTGTTTTTTTGCTTCAGTAGAATTCATACATTTTTTCCCCCAGTAACACCGATTTCTGTTGAAGTCCCAAGCTGCCTCCTCCTGTGTGGCATCAAGCTTGCCACTGAGCTCTAGATTTTAAGTGACGATTTGTCTGTGGTGTTCCACCAAGCCATGTAGTTGTGTAAAAACTTCCTGTGCCTAGCTGCACTTAACCACAGACTTCTAACTATCTTGAACACACGTGTAAAAAAAAAAAAAACAAAAAAAACAGGCCTTTAAAACAAGCTTACTCTGTAATCTCTGAAAACATCTAGATCATAGATTTTAGGCTTTGGGAGGCAAACTGGGCTGTGGGACTTAAAAGCTTGTGCTGTTTTTCTGAGGTTTTTGGAAGCGACTGAGCTCACCTCCTTGCACATCCATTGAGTAAGAAAGGTTGAATAAGTATTGTTATCATGAAGATAACGGTCCTTTGAACAACAGATGTCTAGCTGAAGGCATGCAGTCACATGGTGGATCGCTCCTTAAAGCTACGTCTGATTGACAAATTGTTAGAATTAGAGTCACTGTACCTTAATCCTAATTTTAAGTAGGCATAACCCTCAGGTAATCTCATATGATTTAAAGTATGAACCATACCAACTTAAGTTATGGTGGTAGACACCTTCCTACTGGTATTTTTTGGTCAAGTTGCTAGCTTTAAGAAAGCAACATGTTTTCACAAGGGGCTTGTCTCTGATGTTCAGATGACTCTTACTGTGACTGGAACTGGACATTTTTTTATTTAGCTTAAACGGCTCAGAACAGCGATCTTCTGGTGGCACATAAATGCTGCTTAGCCTCCTAGCAGCTGATTTCAGCTAACACCTATTGGCTCCTTAAGCCGATGGGTGGAAAGTACTGCTGCTCAAGTTCTCCGGCTCATCATTTCAAATTTTGCAGTTTCCTCGTTCTGATCTTGTCATGCCGTGTCATGGATGTTTTGTTCTGACCAGCATTCTTTCATTCGCATCATGGGGATTTTTCAGTCCATTAGACATGTTGCCATACTCTCAAACCAAAAAAAATCCAAAAGGAAATATGTTAGAGGGTCATTTGCATTGATGTATCTTTTTTTTGGGAACTGAAATGGAAATAAAGAAATACATTTACTTAAACAATTTGTCACATTTGATAATCCTTTCTTTTTCACATTTTTTGACAATGTCAGAGTTAGACTTCCAGGTTTCAAAGATGTCAGCATATTAATTATATATTCTATCTTAAACCTCAGGGTAAACCAAGGGCTTCAGTAAATCTAAAAATCTTGAATAGCATTACATCTGATAGACGGGTGACTTTTAGCCTTTCAACAAATAAACTGTGATTGCAGTGAAACGACACTGGAGGCTGAATCATAAGACCAGCTGGAAACTTCATTTTTCTGCATGCACCAGAGACACTAAAACAGCCTTTATCACTAACCAGGGAGTTTATTGTTAAACCTCTAAAGCATTTGAAAAAAAAAAAAAGCCAATTAAAAGCCTGCTCTTGTCTAAGTATGCAATTTAACAGTTCAAGCTGCTATTATTGCTATCCACTATAAAAGCAGCAACCTTAGCTCATGGTATCCCTGGAAGTGTGCTCCTCAGAGGAGCTGGGCTAATGGCATGACAGAGCTGTGAGTACTGCTGAAGAGAATTTAACAGGTAGCAGATGGATTACTTGAACCAGCTGCTGTTGGTTTTTTTTTTCTGAACTCTAAACCGCATTGTGGTTTAGAGTTCAGAAGCAAGGACATGCATGCAATGGCACCTGTAAACACCATGTACTTTGATGGAAATCTGCTGAGGTGTTCAAAAGGCCTTGCAACGACTCACGACAGGAGGCCACAATAGTTTGAAAAAGGTTAGGACGGTTTGATGAAACTATTTGCATAACTGACATAATGCTGTCATTGCTGTAGTGGGTTATTGTTTGGTATTGAGAAATATATTTTAATGAGATTAGCTGTATTGCATAAATGATTCAAATCAAATAAGTACTGAGTTTGATTGATGTGTGGAGAACTTTTCCTGAATGTTTTATTGCACATAACCTTACAGATAACTTATCATTTTAATGCAAAAATAATTTTTTTACATGCTGGTGAAATTTAAAAAAGCTATTGTCCTGTAAAGGTTTTCTATGGCACCCAGGGTAAATTGCTTCTTCTGCATTGGAAGCTTCAAATTCAATTTAATCGAAATCCTAATTTGTCAGTCATGGAGCAGCAGATAACTGCACATAAGCTACAGCAAACTTGTTCTCCCATAACTGCTAGTTTAATACAATTCAGTCTATTTATATAGTGCCAATTCTCAACACGTCATCTCAAGGCACTTTACAGTTCAGCAGATCGTACAGTCAAATTGATTTTCTATCTAAGGAAAACCAGTTGATTGCATCGACTCATTGACTCTTCAGCAATCCCTCACACTAAGCATGCTTGTAGTTACAGTGGAGAGGAAAAACTCCCTTTTAACAGGAAGAAACCTCCAGCAGAACCACAAGCTCTGAGCCAGCTCCCATGTCAGAGGATAGAGAGCACATCCAGCCAGTCACAGTCAGAGAAACAGGACTACACTGAAAAACAGGCCGATCTCCAACATCTATAAACAAAGGTGTTGATGGCAGTAGTTCATGTGCTGCCCCCCAGCTGATGCTCCCCTAGATGGTGAGCCATATCAAGAATCACCACAGAAAATAAAAGTTATGACTCGTTCCTTATTTTCCCTCACAATTATGTTGGATTGTTGACTAGCATTCAAATCCAAACCAGCCCTGAACATCGTCTGCTCTTATTGTGAAACCTAGTAACACATATTCCTGCCTTAATTCAAGGGTACTGTCCGCTGCTCTCACAGTTTACATTAAATTAACCTTCCACAGGCTTTTTATTCTTTTACATATTTGGCCAGTAAATTTTTCTTATCCAGAAGAAATTAAGTTAGCTCTAACAGCGAAGCCGAAACCTTCGGGACGACTGTAGCTATTGTATTGCAAATAAAACGGTTAATGTGGAACATTAATGAAAATGTTAAAATCAGGGTAATGCTTCTTTGTTTTGGCTTGTTTGTTCATTTTTTTATGCTGTTGCATAGCAACTCACATGGAGCGACTTGTTCTGCATCAAATACAAAAACTTCCAACTGATCCATAAACAAAAGGAGGATGGGATTCGCTGATGGGCTGAGCAGTCTCAGTTTGCCCATTAAAGAATATGTCTCCTCCTCACAGCTGGCATTAAACCCACCAACTGGATCAGGAAAGCTGTTACTGTCTAGTTTATTTTCAGCACAGTCGCACCAGAACAAAGCGGAAAGGAATCCGCTGTTCTTTTTTTCCTCAGCATTGTGAATTGTCAAAGATAGGCACAGTTTAAAGTGACACATTATCCAGAGTATTGTGCTGCCTTAAAATCCAAACCGCCCCCAAAGATGCTTTTCACCCAGTCGCTTTTGTTTTGGGTTCTGATGCAGAAGCAGCTCTTCTGCACAAACTGGAGACAGTGCTCCTTGAATGTTAAACTTACCGTACCAGTAAATCTGAGATCTGAAAATGCAGAGCTTTGTTAAAATGTGATTTTCATGCAGAATTGGAGCACATTGCAAAACAATAAAAATCTCATTAGAGGAATTCTGCTTGTTTTATGCAGCTATAGAGATTTATCTACCAGATTTTAACATTAGAAGGTCTCAGCTTATTCACAGGACAACGAGCTGCTTACAGTGAAGTCAGCTGCTGTGGGTATGACCACAAGCAGGTTTTTATGTGCTTTAACACATTGGTAGCAAAATATGTGTCTGAGATCTGTTATATAATGTTGAGCCTGAAACCTGAATGCCACTGACACTAAACTAGGGTCTGTTTCACAAAAAGAGCGTCTCTCTTCCCTCCAACTTTGTCTTTAATTTCATCTCATCATCTGAAAAACCTCTGCCTTGTGTCTCTCTGTCATCCACAGGCTCCAGCTGTAAGTTATCTCTCCTCCATCATCCAGGACTCCATGGCTGCCGGTGCGGCTGCTGCCTGATTCATTGCACCGTGAGTTAGCGTCTGTTGACTGTGAACATGCATGTGTGTCCACGTTCCCCTATCCATCTGTGTTTTGTTGGCATTTTCCGGGTTGGTAGTTCTGCAGAAGAGGTGTTGTGTATATTTGATCAGCTCAGAAAACGAGCTGCAGCTTCTAGGATGTTTTGTGGTATTATGTTATCATACATACTTTTTTTCTTGTCCTTGAAAAAAAAAATAATAATAAGAAAAAGGTTTTTCCAGGTTAGACAATAGCAAACAAATATGTCCATCTTTTTCCCCGATGGCTTTTAACATTTATTTGACCAATGTCTTGCAGTATATTTAGCCTTCACCCATAGCCACTCACACAAACTAGCGATTTCCTACTATTCAGACTAAATGTTGGGTTAGAATTACCAGACACATTTAAAGTATGACATCAGAGTCAAAGCCAGGCATTGGCTCACTCTTTAATACCCTTTGATTTAGAAGACCACCATACCTTGGTGTTTAAACACCAAGCTACGGGGGCAATGGATATTCACCTTTTAAAAGTTGCGTGTTTGATTCCCCCTCCTCCTGCCAGATGGCGTTGTGCCCTTTGGAGCACCACAGCTACCAGCATTCATCCAAACCAAAGGGTGGATGGAAACATTCTAAGTTATAAACCAAGTTTTAATGAGTTATTTTCAAACATTTTATTTATTTTTTTGTTCAATTCCAATGTCTTTTCTTTGGAGATTGATCAATACAATATTAGCATATAGATTAAACCATATTGGCACTTTTCTATGAAAAATGGGAAAAAATTTTTATTACAACTTCAGTTATAACAGTGTATTAAAAGTAATTTATCCTAATTATTATTCTTTAAATGTGATACAGCAGACTTTATGAAAGTTTAATTTACCTTTTTGATGAGACAACAGATCTAATCTTAAATGAGTTAATAATATAAAGTGCTTAATTGTGTTTATTGACTACAAGAGCTGCTGGAAGCCTCACATCAAACACAGATTATCTAGAAGCATCACAGTTCTTTGTAAAGCTAAATAAACATTTGTTTGATAGTGTAAATATTTTTCCAACGGTTGAGTTTGGAGAATAATTTTATAGATTAAGATGTGTGAGTGTAGATATATATATGTTTATATGTAGATAACCTTATTTATTTTACTTACTGGACTTTTGGAGCAGTATGGACCAGTATAACACCAGATAACAGGGATAAGAATCAAGAATATTGCTGGTATTATGCACTATAGGAAGTTGAACAAGTATGATTAAACCAGTTGCACTACTTTAATCTCCTTTTCAGATATAAACTGTAAATGCATTATACTTATAATGATTTTATATGTCATTAATTTTATCATTTGCATGTTAAATCAGTAAAAAAATGGTTTACTACTTTGTCTGATAAAAGGTAATTTGTTCGTTCGTTCATTCATTCATTCATTCATTCATTCATTCATTCATTCATTCATTCATTCATTCACAGTAGTGATTAAGGGGTCAGATATTGTTTCCAGGTGAACAGGTAGAGCTGCTTGTTTTAGCTGCTGTTTATTGTAAAGCATTTATCCCACAGACATCGTCTCTTTTCTGGCTCTGCTGTCATTCACCTGGAAGGTAGACTGGTGTGGGACATGGTGAACCCCCCATCCCCTCAGCTCTCCCCAGTATCCATCACTCTCTGCTGCTTCCCTTTGTTTTGTATACATATATTTTCTGCATGTTAGAAGATTGTTGTTTCCGGATTAAAGTTCTTTTGGATTTGCTGTTTGTTTTCAAACAGAAAATCCAAGGGACTGATTTCTTTTACACAGTGAAACAGAAATGATGTGAAAAACCTTGTGTTTTTGTCCCTTTACCAAAGTCTGTCATGTTTGAAAACGAGGGGAATAGAAGGCAGCTTTGTAAAGGATCCAAAGTGAAGCCAGACTTTTGGATCAGAACAACCATTTTCCAGAGAACTCATAGCAGGCCTGGGAAAAAAAGTGCTACTTAAATCATTAGTTAAAAAAGAGCCTGTCCTGCCGTCACTGTCAGCCTGATGCTGTCCAAACCCCTAATGAGGAGCCAGAGAGACATTCTTCACTCACAGAAACCGTTTCCTTTTGGTGGTGATTTGGAAGCGTTATCGAATCTGGTGCCTTGTTCTATTTTTTCCCAGAGTTGAGAGCTGTAGCAGAAAGAGGCGTTTGTTCTTTGAAGAAAAGTGGGACAAGCTTCTCCAGCTTCATTTTCACTCAGAGCCTCCTAAATATTCCTCACAGATGGTGTTATGCTTCTCCGGATAGACCCAGGGAAGCCAGAACTGATGAGAGCTGAATAAGGAGGTGTGAATAAATGATTTTATCATGTGTTCATTTCTTAAACACATTTAGTTTTTATATTTTTTATGTAGATAGATCTCACTAACATATAATATGACAAAAGGGTTCATACGTTGAAAACTCATTTTGATTGCAATGCATACCCTTGGTGATAAACTGAAGTTATTTGGATTCATTTTAAGGACTTTGATTCGCCTTTGACCTTCAGATCTTCTGCATCTGATATCTCTTCTTCTTAAACTAAACCCCACAGACGATGTTGATGCTGATAATTCAACACTTTGATACAATGCTTACATATTTTACTTTAGGCAGCGGGGTACTGCTGAAAATGAAATCAGTATCTCCACCATCACTGAGTGCAGGGATAATACACTGGACCTCCTGGGCCTCCCCATACTTCCCCCAGACTCTGGGATATTGACTCCAAAAAAAGTTGAAAAACAAACCACTGGACTTTGTTTCTAAGTTTAAGGACATTTCGCTTCCCATCCAGGAAGCTTTTTCAATTCAAAATCCGAATTCAGCTCCTGACCTCACTCGGTCTGAAGGGATCATTTTAAGGGTTTTAAAATAAATTTTAGAATTAAGTTTTGGAATGACTAAACATTACTTCCAGTCATCTGGAGAGAGTCTGGATCTTTTCCTGTTTAGTTCAGGTCAAATGCTTCTGACTTCTACGACTTAGGTGTAGCTAAAGCGGTTATTGCAACGGTCCATCCTCATGTCCTGATAGGTCCCTACTTCTACACACCTGAATCAAACATGTGATTTACATCCTTAGTTTGCAGTCAGGTTGCCTGGAATCCTGCTAATCACCTGATGTTTTAACTTTTGATCGGAGATGCATCCTAAAGGTGCTGGAAGCCGGACCTCAAGTGCCTAAATGGAAGTACCCTCCTCTATAGTCTTTCTTTGCTCTGCATCTCAATCCCACAGTCACAACACTTTTTTTTGACTCCGCCTTGTTCATTCAGTTCATAGCATTCAGTAGCCATGGCTTTTTTGTGTAATCTCAGAGCCCAAACCTTTGGTTTTCATTCAGTAGTGTTGGAAATGGGCAGAGATGAATAAATTGGGTGTAAATTTAAAATACAGAAGGAAATAAGACATCACCTGTTAAGTTGGCTGGGGAATCAAACATCAAACAGATATGAATCCCAACTGTCATAAGAGAAACACCATGAACATGTCTACATGCAAATGAATTTGGTGTAAAACCCGTCATGACTGCATGATTTACACTAACTGCTTGCAAGCTGAATTATTTTAAAGTCTATTAGGCTACAGAGCACTGAGAGGATCACTTGCCTTTTCCCTGCTGTCTGTTGTGCCTGAAAACCTGTTTGTGAAAGCAGTGTCTTTAAGTATTTATACCAAGTGTGTCCGTGGGATTTTATGGCATCGAAGCTGTAGGAATTTTCTGTGATCCCATCTGATCACTGTTCACTGCCTCCCCACTGGCAGCTCTGCTCTGCTTCCCGTTTCTAAGAAAGGGGGGGTAGACTGTCAGTGGTGGAGAACATCTTCATGAGATCTCACAGTCGCCACCCTGCTGCCTTGGGCTAATCTGTGTCCATTTCCACCTGGCTGTGGAGTGAAGTGAATATGAGGAGATGTGTGTGAAATGAAACTGGAAAACCTTAAAGTATGGATGCCCTTTTTAGAGATTTCTAGCTCATATAGACTAAAATTTACACCAATACCTATTTGCAAATACTTCCTGAATCAACTATTAATAAAGTAAAAAAATGCCAAGACACAGGTTTGAAACATCACCATCACTGTCTATTAAAGAAAAACAGAAAACACCATACATGTTAGCATTCAGATTACCATAATGATGTTTGTCTAAAGATCCTCTGCTCTTCGAAGAGACAAAAAAAAAAAAAAAAAAAAAAAACTCACATTGATTGCTGTAAAGAAATATCTGGAATTTGATGAAAAAATTATCAGTTGCTGGGTTTTCTATTTACTGGTGTGTAGTCAGCTTTCCTGTGGGACATGTGGGCAAAGCTCTTCTGTCGCTGGAGGGGTTCCTGAGAAGGTCTCTGAGGAAAGGAGGCTGGGAATCATTGAATTAGTTGATACCTGTTCTCCCTAAGGATGCATCCATGTCTTTTTGTGACATGCAGCCCCTTTACTGCCTCAGGTGACTGATTCCTAGGGATGTTTAAAATTCTCAGTATCTCTCGTCAAATAGGAAATAATTTTTTTTTAAAAACCCTCTCCAGTTACTGTAGTGGTTTGGTTAAATAACTGAATGAAGTAGGGATGCACGATATTGGGATTTTGGCCGATATCCGATATGCCGATATTTTAAAACTCATGTAGCCGATAACCGATACCGATGTTAAAGCTGGACAAATAATAATACACTCAAATATATTTTCATATGCTGATATCAAATTGATTTTTAAAAATGCGGTATTGAGCTATTTTACTTTCAAAATCTCGTGAAATTTCATCGTTCTGTTACAAACTCTCGTGATATTTTGCAAATTCTGGTGAGATTTTGTTAGTAAAATAGATCGATACCGCGTCAATATATCAACTTATAAAAATATGGCAAAATTTCGTGGATTTTCGGGGGATTTCGTAGCATAACGATGACCTATAGCAATATTTCATTAGTAAAAGAGATTGATATGGTGTTTTTAAATGGCAATATATCAGCATATGAAGATA